TCTCCACATTTATCATTATTTCTGGCATTACACAGCAAGTTATATTGGTTTATCTTTCCTCTTCTCCTACTTGGCTGTCAAGATGCCTAAAAATCTCGTTGCTCGTATCTTTTTCACAAAAATCCACTTGATGCCTGCCTTTGGGTGGAATCACAAAAAGCTTGCCTAGAGTGAGAGCTTAGACACCTAGCTCACAAGTCATCAGTTCTGACTCTCCCCTGTGCCAGATTCACAGAGTACTAATTTGTGGGCATTTTTACTAGAGGCTTGAGGGTCTAGGTCTCAAAGAAGATATTAGCTGCTACACAGGTCCACCATATCCCATGTTTCTTATCTGGGAAATTCAGGAAATTAAACCACTGGAGGCTTGGAGCAGGCAAGCTTCTGTAAGCGTGGCCTTGATGACTCTGCCTGGGGTGAAGGAAGGACTAGATTTTTTAATTCCTTTCCAGCCTTGTGACCCAAGGGGTATCTGAGTAATTAAGTGTCACCTCAGATGTGGGAGATGAGAATCAAATCCCCCCTGCTGTCTATGGAAACTGGAAAATGCATCCCAAGCTCTGCTGGAGAACGTCTCCTCTAGCTTGGGTTTTTCTTGTTTTCCTCTAGGATGAGCTGTCCTACTGTGCACTGGTGAGCCAGCAGTTGAGATCTCCTGTGGGAGGGAGAGGTCTGGGTTTCAGACTCAACACCAACCAAAGTGGAGCCCTAATCAAGGTATGAGGATGAGTCACTTTTGCTCACTCTTCTGACTGTATTTCTCTGTAGGATGTGACACTTGTAACCTGGCAACACAGCACTGGTGACATCACTTTTTTTTGCAACAAGTTTGGCAGTCATGTAAAATGCCTTACAGGAAAAAGAGCTCACACCACAGACATTTGATTCCTAAGGAAAAACTCATGTGACTGTGTGCTCTGCTACTCTGCTTCTCATCCCCTACTCACGGATTTTATTAGATTGTGGGCTGATTTCAAGCAGATTTGACAAAGGTTAAATGTCTCAAAAATATAGCGTTTCTAAAAGAGCCACAAATATTGGCGGTCATCTGGAACAGAGCTATCCAGATTAGTGACTAATGGATACTTAGTTTTATTAATATAAATCATAAAATAAACAAAGGAAAGAGCCACCAGAAATCAGACTCTGTAAGTCCCACTGCTCATGAAATTGCTAACTTCTACTTATTATTTGTCTTCATAAAAACTGCCTGTCTTCTGCCTCAGGCACCTGTTACAAGTGTTACTGAAAATGTCCTTGCAGAAGGAAAACAATTATTTTAATAGCTCCTTTAAATAAAAACACAGGCACTGCAGTTAATCAGCTGCCTTTTTAAGTCCTTGACCATTAAGAGCCCAGTGCAGCAGGACTGAAAATGCAGTCTCTAGAGGTGTGACTGTCAAGCCCCCTGCTCCCAAAGGGTGTGTTAGGGAGAGCTGGAAAAGGTGCTGCAATGACACGGTAAGATGGTAGGAACTGCAATTGCTGCCTGAAGACTGAAGGAAAACTCTGTGTTTTTCTGTTGAGCAACATCTCCTGGCTCCTTCTAGCCCTCATCATAAAACAGAGTTTATTTGATTAGAGCTTCTGCACTGTAGATGTGAATGTTGAAAAATATAAAATAGATTGATTTTTTTAAGACCATCTTAAAATGCTAAGAAGTTATGCCTTTAAAATCTACTGGCCTGCAGGCTGATTCTTTGCATGAATTAAGCCAAAAGACCTTGCTCACCAGTATCTATCTGCTCCCACTCCCTCGTTACAGGTTCAAGCAATTCCATATCATTCTTAAACATTGTATTTAAAGGCTTTAAGTGCTGCAGAACCTGCTTCTGACGGAAAAATTTTAGGTTTGTTCTTTCCGCTCTGAAGAATTTCTGCAGGGAAGAGGAGTTCCAGACCTCCAGAGCTGGTAAGCAGGTGACACTACCCTACCCTTGCGTTTCTTGTGCGGCTGGCTGCTTGTCCTCGTGCCACCCAGCCATCCAGAAACCTGTTTCACTAGTTATCTGGGGGGACAGGGTGTGAGATGTTGAGTCTAGGAGGGCAGCTGATAGTGGCAAAGCAAGTCCCAGACCAACAAATGGCCACTGGGCAGGGCTAAAACCGTTGTTCCCTAGCTGCTCACTTTGTAACACTATCCAGTGAAACATAAAAACACTTTGCATGATGCGTGAGGGCTGCACCCAAGGGGCTTCTGCGAGTGTCCCCTCTCTCTCAGTGCTGGAGCCTGCCCGGCCTTGTGAGATCCTCCCCAGATTCACACCCTCAGAGCAGCAAAATTCAATTCTGCTGTCGCTGAGAGGTTTTTGAGCCAGCCCTGGCCAGCAGCCAGATGCAGAGAGTTGCAGATCCTGAGGAATAAGCCACCCACGGTATCTCTGAGCCCTCCTGACAGAGATCCAGGAATCCCTTATTTGTGGCCCCTTGCCACGAGAAGTGCCAAGCAGACCACGAAGGATATCTGTCAGCTGGTGGACACCAGCAGACCATGATCAATCTCTTCTTGAATAAATTTAAATACACTGAGCTCAGGATTGGATCAAAGACAAAATCTAGTATTTACCCAGGTTTCACAAGATTTATTTTCTGTTGCCTAAATTGTCTGTCAGTAATTTCAACATTGTTTTTTCAATCATTTACTGACTGAACCCCATTTTTAGCTTTCTCATGTTAATGGATTGCCTAACTGATGTCAGGCCAGGTGATTAATCTTTTTTTTTTCTTTTTTTTCCTTTTGAACCTTTTAAAATATAAACCAAACCTTTACCTATTCACGTCTTTTGGCGCTTCCCGAAAATACCAAGATATTTCAAAGGTTGATTCAGAGCTCAATAAGATTCCTGTAATTGTCAACAAAGACAAGAAGGGTAGATGGCTAATGGAATGATAACACCCCCCGCCACCCCCCCCCCCCCACTCTCCTCCCTGCAGCTCACATTAGCATGGGGTTATACCCAGAATTAGGTGATGGGACACTCTTGGCATCCCTCTGAGCTCCACGTCTCCAGCTGCATCTCGTTTCAAAAGTTATTTTGGAGCTGCAGATTCAAGAAATGTCGCATAGTTGCTGACAACAAGAAGTTCTGGATGAGAGGGATATCTGTTATTTTCTTTCTGGAGATGCTCCTGCCTTCTCTGTGTAATATGGAAAACCTAGTGCTGCCTGTAATGTAGATGATGCCTCACCTGAATTTTGGTGCTTATCAGCTTCAAAACTTATTTAACGAGCCTGGACCAATTCAAAATAACCTGCTGCAGAAAGCAAAAGAGTGTGTTCTCAATTAAGATAACAGCTTGTGGAGCTATTACCATAATAATACTGCTTCAAAAAGAATACTTGTTTCAATGGTTAATTGTTTCCAGCTCTGTGCTGGTACCATCCCAGCAGGAATAGGCCCAGCATGACTTCTGCTGCATTGGCCACTGTTATCGCAGTGCACAGAGCACTTTCCAGTAGACGTGGAAGCATTTAATCACCTAAGCGAGCACTTTCTCCACTCCAGCAGTCAGCAGAGAGCCAATACCCTAATGCAGCCAGTACCCATTCCCGTAATGATAATTTTCTAGCTCTATTGCTCAAGTGAACAGAAGAGAAATATGTGATCTGCAGCAGAGTATCTAGTGCCAGTGTTAAAGCACCAGTGCCCTGCGCAGTCTAAAAGCCCGGTGCAGCCTGCATTCCCTTATGCACACAACATTCTCCCTCACCAAGAAGATGAATGAGTTCAACTTTTTATTTCAGGTGGACCCAGATAATTTCCATTGAAAAATATATGTATAAGCTGCTATTGCAAGCCATTTTCATTTTCATTAGAGGGGCAACGAAGAGTCTTGATGTTGAAAATATACGTGTACCATATTCTGTCCAGCTAAAAGAAATATATATTTATACTGTCAGCAGCAGGCAGCATCAGGGAGTGTAGCTGGCATCTGTAAGCATATGTTGCTCTTTCTTTCAGTTTTCTTCCCCCTTCCTTTCAGTTACACCCACCGATTATATTTTGGATTCATTGACATTGCAGTCGCTCCCGTGTGGGCACAGTCAAGCTAGTTTCAAATGAGCTAATTTGGCTACAGATAGCATTGCAGACAGCGCAGCATGGGACTGGATGCTGTAGAAGCTGGGTAAATAGTTCAACGGCTTCACCAACATGGACTGTGGTGGGCTGCTGTAGCTCCCAGGGCATGAACAAACTATATTAAAGCTCAGGCACACAGATGATACACAGTCGTGATTTCGGTGCAGAATGAGGTTACCCTGGCTCGGGGAAAAGCTAGGCATGCAGCAGACCAGGGACCATGGGCTGAGGCAGACCCAGTACGCAGACATATTATGTCCAAAAGCATGATTCTGCAGGGAGTTTTAGTTTGTTGAGCACTCTCACAATTGCTTGAGATGTCAAAAAAAAAAAGTAAAGAAAGAAAAAAGCAGACTCAACCCAGATGTATGAAAGCATAGTGCCCTGCAAGTGCACAAAAAAGCCCTTTGAGATGACTGATGAGGCTTTCTCGAGGTTTGAAAACACACTTATTCCCTGCCAGCTGCAAGGAGGCGAGCCCAGGGAACTTCTGGGACAAGAATGCTGCAAGGAGCGTCTGAGCATCCTTTCACCTGGAAAAGGGAAAAGCCTGCCCTTAGCGGCCAGGTGACAGCACCGGGGACATTCTTAGTCCGCCTGTGCCCAGGGGGCGAGTGCCCACGCAGGAAGGAGAAGGTCAAGCCTCCTCCTCCTCGCCCCCTGCCGGGGCTCGGCACGGAGCCGGGGCCAGGACCCCGCTGGCGGGAGCCCCGCCGGGGCAGCCGCCCTCATCCCCACTCCCAGCGCCGGCCGGTCCCCGCCGTGCCCGGGCGGGGGCGGGCGCGGCTGACGCCCGGGGGGCGGAGGCGGCGGTGGCAGCCCCGCCTCTCCTGCGAAGGGGCGGGGGCTCCCGCCCACCTACTACTACCGCCGGCGGGGCCGGGGCAGCGGCAGGAGCCGCTGGGAGCGCCGGGGGACGGGGCGGCGACGGGCGGGAAGCGGCTGCGGCGGCTTTTCTGGCACCGGGGGAGCGGCAGTGCCTCCTGAGCGGAGCGACAGGAGGAGGAAGGGCCGGGGAGCCCTCCGCGGGTCCGCTGACCGAGCGCGCGGTGCGGTGCGGGGTCTGTCCGCAGGTGCCCCGCAGCCGCCCGCTCCGCCGCCGGCCTCCCGCGGAGGTCCATGAGTCGCGGGCGGGCAGCCCCGGCAGCGCCCCGAGCCCGCTCCCCCGGCTCCGGCAGCGGCCCGTGGCGGCGGCGGTGAGATGGGGGGCAGCCTGGGCTGCCACCGCTCTATCCCCCGCGACCCGGCCGACCTGTGCCACAGCCGCAAGTTCAGCGCGGCGTGCAACTTCAGCAACATCCTCGTCAACCAGGAGAGGCTCAACATCAACACGGCCACGGAGGAGGAGCTGATGACCCTCCCCGGGGTCACCCGGGTGGTGGCCCAGAACATCGTGGAGTACCGCGAGTATATCGGCGGCTTCAAGAAAGTGGAGGACTTGGCGCTGGTGAGTGGGGTGGGGGCGGCCAAGCTGGAGCAGGTGAAGTTCGAGATCTGCGTGAGCAGCAAGGGCAGCTCGGCGCAGCACTCGCCCAGCTCACTGCGCAAGGACCTGGCCTCTGAGCACCACCTCTCTGCCACCAAGATCAACATCAATACCGCCACCCCGGCACAGCTCATGAGCATCCGTGGCATCACTGAGAAGATCGCCAACAGCATCGTGGACTACCGTAAAGAGCACGGGCCCTTCAAAAGTATTGAGGACCTGGTGAGGATGGACTGCATCAATTCCTCCTTTCTGGACAAAATCAGGCATCAGATTTTTGCAGAGCGTTCCAGGCCCCCTTCGACAAACACCAATGGTGGCCTCAACTTCATGGCCAAGCCTCACCCCAGCCCCACTTCTCTAAGCCTCCAGAGCGAGGACTTGGACTTTCCCCCTGGGGGCCCAACCCAGATCATATCCACTCGCCCCTCTGTGGAGATGTTTGGGGGGGTGAGAGATGGCAGACCTGTTCTGAGGGTGGCTACTTGGAATCTGCAAAGCTGCTCCATTGAGAAAGCCAACAACCCAGGTGTGCGGGAGGTCGTGTGCATGACGCTGCTGGAGAACAGGTAAGAGGCAGCACCTGACCTGCAGGCTCAGCTTCATGTAGGATTATACATTAATACCTTTGATGTTTGGACACTGTAGAGTCGTGTTGTGATCCTAGTGGGACTCACTCCTTCCTAGGAATACTAAGTGTTTCCCACTTCTTGAGTGGAACCCTGGTTGAGTCGTAATATTGGGACTGTCCCTTGATAAGGCCGCTGTAATACTTGATAGGTAGCTGACCTCCTGAGGAGATGTGTGTACACACATCTGTGCAGGGAAGAAGACTGAGCTGTTACAGTCGGGTAGGCCTGTTAATGGTTGGTCAAGGATTGTTTCTCCAAGAGCCTTTTGAAAAAGCCATGGAGAACTGCCTTTCCTGCCAGAAGCTGGGGGGCGGTAGCAGGGCAAGGGCTGTGTAACAGGCATGGAATGCCACAGCTCGTCCTGCAAGAGTGACACAGCTTGTTAATGAGTGGTCATGGGGCATCTGCTGAGCTGGAGGGACAGCTCATCCTTTGGGTGCAAGACGTGGGGCAGCTTCCTGGGGAGCCTCTACTGTCCCTGTGCCAGGTGGGCCCCTGATTGTACTGAGACTGTGGGCATGGAGCAAGGTCTGTTGGTGGTGTGGTAAACTGGGGTGGTACTTCTGGTGTTAATGAAAAGCTGAGAGTTTGCTTTTTGTTTTCTGCAATTGGGCAAGAGTGCTAGAGATGTCTGTCTTGCTAAACTTTCTGCTTGATACAGCAATGTAAGAATGCAATAAGGATTTTGAAATAACTGCCACCCTTTCCTTTCCGTGTGGCGAATCTGTCCCAGCTGATCTGGCATTTAGTTTACAGCATTGATAAAGTCACTTTTCTCTCTGACTGCCATTCAAACTTCCAGCTGGAAATGAACAGGGACAGGAGACTCTTGGACTTCTGCAAAAGGGATATTATGGGAATGTGAAGTGATAATGAACCATTAACTCTGGTGCACCATGAGCTCTGTCCTTTTCCAATAATATGCTGAATAATCACTCTTGGTGGTGCAGTTGCAGAGGTCAGGCGTGCGAGAAGGATAGTACAGTGATATGACATCCTGAGCTGCAGTACAGTATTTGTGGTCAGGGATACCTCTGCTCTGCACTGCCTGGAAACATCTGTCATCTTGCAGCCATCACTGTTTGATACCCAAAGTGGAGATGATAGACCAGCGGGGGTATTGAGATGTTACACTGATGGCTTCAGCCTAACTTATTTCAGGATTCTGCTTCTGTAGTTCAGGAATGCTCTACTTCCCCCTTCGTTTCCACTCTTGTTTTTTCTTTTGTGAACAGCTGGTTGGCTGGAGCAGATCTTAGGATGAAGTCTGGTGGGACTGGACATCAGGGTAGGGGGCAGAGGCAGATAACCTGAGTTTCTGTCCTCAGCAGGTCTATCACTAGCCTCAGGATTATTGTAATAATCCAGTTTTGGAAGAAAAGTGACTTTGATTTATTTTTAATTAATTATATATATATATTAGGGATTTTGAAGGACCTTATCCAGTAAAGTGTTAATTACCACTTCTGCATCTTCAGCATTTTGGGGAAAGAAACCGAAACAAAGTAGTTCACTTATTACAAAAACTAGGCAGAGAGAATGCCTTCTAAAATAAACTTGCCTTAGCCGAAGCTGGCCACTGTGTATGCAGTGTAGCCCCAGCAGTGTGTTTTATTTTTGCACTTAAACTGCATGGTACTTTGTTTCATCCAGATTAGCAAACAGGCGCTCAGTTGTGCTGGGTGCTGTGAAAGGTCTCCCTGATACTTTGAAGTGTCAAAGGAGCCTGATATAAGTACTTGTTTTTGTTCTGTTTTGTTGCACGTATCTGTGTCATCAATCACACAGGGAGAGTACTATGCGATTGTTTGCTGTACTTGATCCTATTTGTGATAACGTGAGAAGCTGGAAAGAAATGAGAGTAATGTGCATCCGCAGACAAGCCTGCAAAACTTTCCTGGGAAAATAAACGTGGGATCAGAAAAAATCAACATGATGCAGGAAAAAAGTATATGGTAGGAAAAGCCATACTTAGCACCTTAGGAAGGAATTTCCTCTAGTTTGTGCAAGCATTGCTGAGGTCAGTGGAGCTTTGCAGCTGTAAAATGGCCTTAGCTGAGGCCATAAACTGCCTTCTTTCGGTGTGTGAGCATTGTGGTCTCCCTTCCGGCTCCGGTTGTATACCCCGGGAGTGGATAAAGTGCCTTGCAAACTAATCTTTGCCCAGGTAGACCAGCTTCAGTAGTCAACTGCAGAAATTAATCTCTTGCTCCTGCAAACGAGAGTACACCATTGCACGGGGCTCACCAGCACTTAAGCCTCACAAAATCCATAAATCAAGGTGCTCTGTGTGCTCAGCCCATGTCTCACGTGTTCTGAAGTCTCCAGCTATGACCTAAGCTGTTGCCCAGAGGATCTGAAGGCCGTTTGGTCTGACAGTAGGTAGATGCTCTCACAAGTTATGCTGATGGGCATCTGCTTGCTGATGTACTTTATGCACAGCTGCCCTCATGTACATAAGTAAGTGTGCTCCTTCATGCCGGTCCCTTATAGTCCAGGGTGGTTTCAAGTAGTCTGGGATGCTCTCAGGAGCTGGAGTACTGTCTTGTTGCAGTGCTTCTGTTGGAGGACCTGCCTCACCTAGCTTTTTAAGTTCAGAAGTAAAGCACAGCAAGTCAAGAAGACTAGTAAAACTGTGTAGAGACCCATAAACAATCTCAATTTGGCATATTGGGGACTTTTATGCCAGTTAAAAGGCTGCTTTGGCGCTTGCTTTGGGGTTTGCACTTTGTTTATTTTTGCTTGGTGTTTTGCTTGGCTTTGGTTTTTTTCATGACCAGTTCAAAGCAAGTAGCTTTAAAACCCCTTGGGCCTTTTCTTTCAGGTGTTAACAACAGGGAAAAGTACTGCTCATTTCCAGGTGAGGCTAGAAGATGAAGGTCTTGCTGTCTTTCAGCCCTTTATGTCCTTTGCACTGAGGGAACAGTTGTGCAGAAAGAGGGCCATACCTTCATTCAAAACAAACAAAAAGAAAGAAAATGTCACATTATAATCTACTGAAGGGAAGGGAGGGATTAAAAAAAAAAAAAAAAGGCAAAGCAACCCAAAATCTTCACGCTTGTTACCAGAAGTGCTAAATTTCTGAAGAGCAGTGAAGGGAATGTATACTAAATCTGTAAGCATGACTACTACTGCTAGGCTATTTTGAAATTCATTACTGCAGTACAAAAATGAAATACAGCAAGGTCCTCACCCTCTTTTCTCATATTACAAGGATCTATGTTTATCACAATGTTTGAAGTGAAGGAGCGAGGTGTTTTCATTCAGAGGACTAGAGGGTAATTTTAGAAGAGCTTAACATGATGAACAAGTACGTGAGCATGACACATAACTGGATTGAAGTATCAAATCTGGGGGGAATTTGCCCAAGCCTACGGTGTTTCTTGTAGGTGTTGTTCAGCAAATCTGGGATTTATTGACGGGGGGCAGAATTGGTCTGGCTCAGGGGATGTAGATCACCCCCTCCAGCTGGCCTCTCTGTCCTCTCCATTCTTGGGCAGGATGAAGAAACCAACTGCTTCTTCTCACAAAAAAACCCTAAAAGAAAATAGGGTAAGGATAGCGTGATCAAAGGGCAAAGGCAACAAGTGTTTTTGTGCAGGTGATAAATAGCCCCACCAGAGATGTTTCCTCTGGCTAAGGTAGGTGGAGGTACCCCAGGGCTGTTCTGCACCCTAAGTCCATAGGGAAGGGCATTCTTTCCACTCCTCATCCATACCTGCCTCAGGCCTGTCCCTCCGTGCCATAAACTGAGTTTGTGACTCCCACAACACCCTGTGACCGCTTTCTCTGGCTGTTTAGTGTTGAGGTGCCAGCTGGGTGACCACAGCAGGAAGCCTGATGCAGGCGTGTGTGTGATGCTGACTGATACACACGGCATCCTAAAAGTGCATCCTCTAGTTGGACAGCTTACTTGAAAGTTTGCTAGTAGCTGGAGGCAGTAATCACTTGTGCACCTTTCCCAACACGGTTTGCAGCAGAGGTTTTCCAACTGTTTTTTGTTGTGCTGTATAATAGTAAGTGGTAACTTTGTGAGGGCCTCTTAACTATTTTATTTTTTTTCTTTGCGTTTGAGTAAATGAAAATTCATAGAGGGTTTGAAAGCCAGAACTTGCACTCTATCTAAAGGTGGGGGACTGTGTGTTAGGATGACGGTGGGGTCCCAAGGTCCACAGAGCCCAGCTCTTTTTCCTTCTAGATGTCAAGCAGTTCAGGCTGCTCTTTTCCTCTGTTGCTTGCTTTGGTCAGCTTCTTGGTGCAGTTACATATTCTAGATGCAAAAACCCTTAACAGTTGTTGCAAAAACTACAGAACCATAGAAGAGCCCGGGTTGAAAGTGAACTCAGAATATCTGGTCCCACCTTTCGTGGGAAAGGAAGCCTAGATGAAATTATCTGGCACCATGTCCTGTCGCACCTTGAAAACCGCCAGCACTGGGGCTCTTCTGCATCCCTGGGAGATTGTTCCAGTGATTGATTCTCTTCACTATAAAAGAATTATTTCTTGCATGCCTGTAGGGTAACAAATACCAATACCAATATAAGGTTTGTACTTAGCACTGATGATTTTTTTTTCCTTGGCTTAATTTTGTGGACAGCAAGTCTTAGGAACATGTCAGCCCTTCTTTCTCCCCCAGCTTTGTAACTGGTTAGCTGTTTTCACTTTGGTTAGGTAGAAGAATAGAGATCTCTCAAAGGGAAGAAGTTAACCTCCATTTGTGTGTCTGAGACTTAAATCGGTGTTCCAGCTGGGGGTACAGTAGGTAAACCTCAGCCCAAAATTGCCTCCTGGGTGGCAGTGGGTAGATAGGCAATCCCTGGGTAATCCTTGCTGTGCCACCATACTTGGAAGTTCCTCTTCCTAGTCCTACTTACCCCAGGTCACCCGAAGCACATCATCTCATCACCTAATAAAAAGACAAGCTTCTGAAGCAGCCT